TTCTGACAAGCTTGTGGAAGGAAACCCAAACGATTTGACCCAAACCATACAGATCAAACTTCACACGCTGAGAAAAAATGTGTTGTGTGTGGAAATATTAAACTTTCATCTGTTTATAGGATCCTTGAAAGTGCATGTTCTCTTTTCCTTCCCATGAGCATCAGTGTCATGTCATTTTCAAACAACAGAGAAACAGGAAGCCACTGATCGTAATAAAGTTAATTGACTCTGTGTTCAATTAAAAAAAACATGGAGTTTGAAAAATACTTGAATTGTATTTACTTTATAGGGAAAAAAAAATCTTAACACAAATGAAGGTTTGAGTTTTCCTAAATTTTTAAAGATATATGTCTTATTAATTGTTTATTTTCATTTTTCCCCAAACCCATGAAAGAAAACTGTGCTTACGCTTGTTTCTTAATCAGCATTACTTCACAGTTTTTTATTATTTAGTCTAACGTATAAGGTTAAATTCATAATGATTCTGCTTTGGATTGCTCTAGGAAAAATACAGAGCCTAACATGACCGTTTGTGATCAGTAATCACTTTATTTACTAAATTAAAAACAAAAATAGAAATGTTTTGTTTACCAGGCCCAGTTCAAAAACAATTTGATCTGGTTCAAAACCCAGAAGTAACGATCTAGAGGTTAAAAAAAGTGTAAGATTTTCCTGTCTTTGCTTTGATTTAAAAAAAAAAAAGATAGAAAAGAAATTCAAAATAAATGTAAGGAGATAAAACATAACAGTGAAACTTGTTATAGAGTCCTGAGAGCTGTACAACTTCACAGTCACATCCGAATGTTCCCCGCAGCTCGTCCTAATAAGCAAATTGTCCAAATATCCACAGCTGGGCAGCAGCAGCACAAGCTTCACATGTGCAGATGTCACAACCTTCTTACACAGAAAAGAGACAGAGCTAGACTGTCACTACTGTCTGTTTCTGAAAAGAGGATATGAAACTGTGGAATGGAGATAAGATGAGGAAGTGGAGTCATACATTCAGCACATGCTCTAAAATGGCCCACCCACACTCACCTCTGATCGATCATGGGTCATGTTGTCATACAGCACACGCCACGCTGTCATCCTCTTGGTTTTTAAGAAAAAGTCCGACTTTTGTTGACAGGGTTGTTGTCGTTTCTTTCGCCTAATCTTGTGTCCCCAAGGGAACTCCAGATCACCACGAAGTCAGTTCAAAATACACCTTTTCTTAGTCTAATCACAAAGCAGCAAGAAAACTGTCCACGTCACGGAAGATGTGTCCATATGGCAAACAGATGAAGCTGTGTTTACACACACCTGATGCTCTTTCACACTGTGATCCACTGAACCAAGCAAACCTGCTTGTCTGTCTTAGCATTTGTGTGTGTATGCGTGTGTGTGTGTGTGAGGGTGTGCGTGCCCCTCTGTGGATACGGTGCGGGTCTCTGTTTACCTGAAGAAAATTAATCACTGACACTTTTAAGCAGGCAAAGTCAATGAAGATGAGCTTTCACAAAAACAGTGATAAGACAGAAAATGTGCCTTTCAGGATGAAAGCATGCTAACAACAAAATCCTACTGAAAGAAAGAACGATCTTCATGGATATGGTCACCTCTCATGTAATATTCCCATCCTGCTCTTATGTCTGCTGGCCAGCTGGGCCGGTTGCAGCTGTGCAACTGGAAAGAGTACAAGTCCATCAGCTGTCGGCACTGCGCTACATGACCTACTGTGACCTCTGACTTTGCTGACAGTCACCTCAAAGCCAAGTGTGTTCATGACACACACTTTCTTCCTGAAACCCAGGAAACATAACTGTTTTCAGATCAGAAAAACAGAAAGCTGTTATGTGCAAAACAAGCCTACCAAAGCTATTTAACTATTAACTAGTATTAACGATGTAGAGAATGTCAGTGTTCAGATCCAGAACAGCGTCTCTTGCTGCAGGAAAAGTTCTGTTTTCAACAGAGATTATGACAAACTTTATGGATGTTACATTGCATGATCGACTGCTAAGAAGGCAACCCATTTGATCCAATGTACATGCAAGTAATGACATGTGCTCGGATAGAGGATAGATTATTTACAGTTGTAAGAAGCACCGCATTATGCACAACCCATAACCGGCTCAATGGCAACCTTTCTGAATCCAGCTAGACATACTGGTCGGGTGAAAATCGTTTATCAAGACAACAGGTATAAGCCAGCTGCAAAAGCTTTATCCAGATGATGTAAATATCTAATGGCTAATTGATATAGATTAGTTGCTTTAGCATAGGTATTTACTGATAGTTGTAGTTATAGGTATCCTGGCTTGTACATCCAAAAGTTAAAGGTCAAAGTATCATGATAAATTTTTGCATTAATAGCAATTTTAGTCTATGTTTATTTCTTAGAAAATTAAGATACTAACATTTACTCCTATGTTTCCAAAAGTTTGTCCACATTTCCTATTTAAGCATGCTTCACTGCAGATGGAAAGCAACATTTTGATAATATACCGAGTCCTGTTGATTTCTTAGGGAAGCCAGGTGCTGTTCACCTTCCCAGCACCGTTTGATCATCTGGGGGAAGAAAGGACTTTCTCTCCATCCTCCAAGCAGAAAACCATATATGACCATACATGACATATCAAAAATATACTTATTTGTTGGGATGAAGAAAATGTTGAATTTAAAAGGTCCAGTAACAATATAACAGTTTAGTTTAAGAGAACTTATCATTTGTTTTTATACATATCATATGAAGGTTTTTAGACTTTTCTGCCCTTTGTGGAGCTTTTTAAATTGTCATTTTAATTTTTTAAAAGTAAAGTGGGTTTACATTTTTTATGTAGGTATGCCAATTTTATTATCATGTACATATGTTTTTACCAAGCTCTGTGATTTCATGAATAATACTTGTATTTTACAGTCATTCCTACAATCACTTAATAAACTCGCCCAGTGTGACATGATTAAACTGTGCGAAAATAATCTAATTAAACTCATTTATTTACATGTGAAATTTCTGGATTTGTTACAGCTAAACTCTGTGCCAGTGCTGCTGCAATGTGGGCCCATCTCTGTTATTTGGTTACATAACAGAGATATTTTCATTCATGGACTAAATAAAGAGCAAGCATTTGAAACAGAGTGAACAAGTGAGATAATGTCAGAGTTTTAAATTACTCTAATGCTGCAAAGTATACACAAGTTCCTAAGACTAATGGGGTAAATAGGCTCTCTTCATTTGTGTGCTATTACTACTCAGTAATCGAACACAACACCCAGTATTGAATTTCTGTCTGATTATTTTTTCACATTTTGCAGTGACAAAATGCTATGTACTTAATTAGAAGTTTGACAGACAAACACAAGCAGTGCATGATTCTTAAGTGGAAAGTTGGTTGTGAATATTGTTAGAAATAAGACTCCGACCCATGTGGTGTGCATTCAGAATATATTCAGTTTCCAAAATTTAATCGTTTGCCAAACTATCCTTAGTAGCAATTACAGCTGTAAGTCTTGCTTTGCCCAACTAGAAACACAAGAGTGTGTCCATTTCTCTTGACAACAGCTCAAATTCAGCGGGATTCAATGGAAGCTGGACATATGTGCAGCATTAGACTTGACCATTAAAACATGAATGTGCATTGACCTATACTCATTGTTCTGCAGGCAGGTGAACCTTCACCCCAGTTCCAAAATTTCTCCAGCCCTTAGAATTTCCTTTCAGAAAGGCCTTCCAAATATCTGCATCCATGCTACGATCAACAGGCAACCATTTTCCCTGCCTCTGTTTAAGAAAATCCTCCACACATCAGGCCGGGTGACTTCCAAGAGCACTTGGGGTGCAGTGGATTTCACTTGGAGGAATCAGGTTCAGAAGGAATTAGTTATTTTTCAAGAGCATCCATCACTTTAAGCATGCTCACTGAGACGTTTAGACCTCCATCACTGCAGATTATGCTGCTCTGTGCAACACATGTCTGATGACAGAGGTCAGACACACAGAGGTGAAAGATCAGAGTGAGACCTAATGTCACTTTGCTGTTACAATGCAAGTGGCATGCAGGTTGAGAAGGCAAGAATTCACCACAATGGGGGGGAAAGTAGCACAAGACATATGAAGAAATCTATTTCAAAGTAAGATGCATATTCACTGAACGATAACAAATAAAGCGGGCTTGACATATGCTGGCCGATCTCAAATGTTAACAATGCCCTAGCAGGCATAACCACACAATATACACACAATAAAACACAGAGAGACTTTGAATAAATTCTGGCCAACAAAGGAGCGCATCCAGTCAGCAGTGCATTCGATATTTCTGTGTTGGCGCCATGCAGGACTGTCAGGCAAAGGGCTTGAATAAGCAGCAGAGCATTACACGCTGTACAGTTTACAGCCACAGCTTATACATAGCAGCATACCCCACTGCTGAGGTGTTGTCACTGATACCAGCCAGACTATTAGCTTATAAATGGCAAGAAGGGCAGCTCCCTCTAGACTCACACATGACAGTAAAAGGGAAACGTGTTGTTTAATGTCTTGTCATTCTTCTTTTTTTTTTTTTTTTACATTTATCTTATTTTCCACCCATAATTACAGATTTGTTGCAGCAATTACAAATAATAAATCTGGTAGTGGTATTTCAAATAAGCTGAAGAAAATGACTGGGACTTCTTTTTCTGCAAATGTAATAATAATTTTATCTAACCTGCAGACGATGTGTTAAAGCTCACTACAAAATTAAAGTAAGATCAAACAAATTGGGGCCAAGTCATGACCAGACTTGCATGACTTGTAGTGCTTAATATATGTAGGTATAACATGGGTGGGAAAACAGGCGTGTGTTTTTGGAGCAATATTCTGGAGTTGGGGGAACAACGGTGTGTGACAGCATATTCCTTTACATGTCAATTAACCACATTTCTGGGTGTAAAGCAGGAAGTGCGCACTTAAAATCCCCTCGGCGGGAGGCGTTTTAGCCCGGGCTTCATTCTAATGGTGCCGCTGAAATACAACTCACCCGCTCTGAAGGTCAGGCAGAACGAGTCAGGTTGAAGAAAGTGCGCGTCCGCTTCCCAGACCCACCGACAGCTTTCAAACGGGAACGGGGGGAAATAAAACCGCAAAGCAAAACAGAAACAAACGGCAGAAGCTCAGGAGTTGTAGGCGCCTCTGTGTTTTCACATACTGACCGCGGACAACTGCTCGCACTTCGGTTCCTAAATTGTTTTCGTCTTGACGGTCGAGATGTTGTCACAACTCAAGAGCGTCTGCGGTCACCTGTGCCACCACCAATAGCGAACCGCTAATGGGATTGTGGGGAAATGTAGTTTTTGCTGTTCGTTGTCTTTTTGAACGAAAACGTGCGACAAGGTGGGTCTAAAAGTGAGATCGTTGGCTCTGCTGCCTGTGTTGGAAAGGCCCAGTCAAAGTCCAGACCTAAATACGATTGATGTTCCCAGGTGTAGCTATTTCATCAAGTCTCACTGAGTAGCTTGAGCTGTTTTCCAAAGAACTGGGGTGGAAAAAGTCTAGTTGTGGAAAGCTGGTACAGACCTCTCAAAAATATCTTGCAGTAAAAGAACTGAATACAAGTGCAACCCGCTTTTTAGTATTTTGTGTTTCTATAAAATTAACAACCATGCTTCATGATGGTGAAACAAGTTACTGTGAGTTTTCTTCAAAAGAGTACAGATTTAATGCGATTTAATTCACATTAGAAATTAAAAGAAAAAATCTCTTCCATATAGACTTTTTTTTCAAAGTATGAACACTTGCAAGATTCTGCGTTTCAATTTTTTTGTACATGCAATGCGGATATGCGATATGCACTTGCATATGTTGAGCTCAGGCTCTGGACTTCACAACACAGCATGGCACACAACATATTGCTCTCGAGGCATATTGTAATCTAGTGATTCCTGTTAGCAAAACAGATTTATCTCAGTGTATTTAACAAACAAGCCCATCAGATTTTAAAGGATAGTGTCTTTTGTCATAAAGATACCAATTTGCAGCATGTGAAAGGCATAAACAAAGTTAAAGAAAAATGTTAAGTCTTCCCAACATGAAAAGCTTTAAATATTTATTGCATGTAATACTAAGAGCAACCACAGGAGGGAAGCATAAACTTTTTATTGTACTTGAAAGAGAGACCAAGCTATTCCTTAAAGCTGCTATATGTGGTTTAAGTTCGTGGGAAGGGTTAAATTACTTCCCACCCACCATTAAAAACAAATGTTTGACAGGATAAACAGCATTGTTATCTATCAGTGGCTATACCTTTATAGTTAATTTTCATTTCAGAAATAAATGAAAAAAGATTTGATAAACTTGAGTGAGCAGTAGTTTTATTGAAATCCAATGTGTACATTATCAAAGTCACTTTCATTTGATAAAGCTAAACCACCAAACCACCATTTTACATACAATTAATCTAAACAACCAATTGTCCCTTTGTAATCGATAAAACATCTAACAAGAATTTTAATACTTCAAGGACATGTTGATTCAATTAAGTCCATTTCCTTGGCAGTTAATCAAGAAAATATTTGACTGCAAATCAAGTATCATCAAAACTCTGGATATGGTTAAACCAATAAAAATGGTAGCACTGTCCCCATCATTAAGAATAATTGATCCAACTATAACATTCTACAACACTGCCTGTGGCGGTAGATGGCAGAGTTTGGTCATGTGCAAGAAGCATCACCAAATAAACTGCAGAAGTGAAAAACCTGTTGAATTAGACGACAATGTATATTGCCCCTTTCTTGTAAAACAAGAGATGAAAATAGTCAGGTGTGTCTCCTAGTAGAGATACAGCAGAAACTGATTGAAAGGAATAAAATTCCCTTGATAAAATGTTTCAAATCTCAAAAAGAAATCTGCCAAATAAGTATTATATGAGAAACAAGCATGAACCAACTGTTGAAATAATAGTACTAATTACTGCCCTGTTGATTTAATATTTAATCTTCAAGGACTGTTTCTTTGCATAATGATCAACACCAGTCAATTCCACCAAATCTCTCTTAGCCATGTGGCTACAGGTGAAATATTCACATAATTTCCTCAAGTGCTTCCTTTTTAAACATACAATAACCAAAATGTCCCATTGATTGCGATTTGGTTTCTGTTTTATGATCATTGTAGGATCAACAGCAGGGTCCCTGAATTGCTGTGGTGGGTTCCAACAATCTTATATGTAGGGCAACGAAGGGTACAGTGGATGCCACCAGTCCATGAGCTTCACGCTGTGCACGGGATCTAAGACAACCTGCATCCCGCCTTGATCCCCTCTCTTCTTTCCCCGCTGCAGAGGCGAGTCCTGGAACACCAGACGGACACGGTGGTGACGCATGTCCGTGCTCACATTGATCGTGAACTGTAAAAACGAGAACATCTGATTAGGGTGGTAGGTGTTGGAGGGAAAAATTGGTGGGTTAATGTCCATTTTGGAAAATAATAAAATATTACAATTTGCAGCTCAGAAACATCTGTTGTTCAGACTGCACAGAGAGCATATCAATGTTATCAGGGTGGATTCAAATATTGAATTAGTACTTGTGTTTTAGTGAAACCATGTTTCACATCACATACCGGCACATCTAAAACGTATAATAGCACACAAAAGTTAAGATTTTTTTTTGTCATTCATTTTATAAAGTGAAACTAATTATTTATTTCACAGAGTGAAATATTTCAAGCTTTTATTTCTTGTAATTTTGACGACTCTGGCTTACAGATCAATGAAAACCAAAAACTCTCTCTCAGAAAAATCAAACATTGTGGAACTGAAACACTGGGAACCCGTGGTGTCACAACCTAATGTAAGCTAATTAACTTAAAACAGTGGAAGGGTTCTAAATCTGGGTCAGAAGGTTACACAATCATGGGAAAGACTGCTGACTGGACAGATGTCCAGAAGACAGTCACTTTACAAGAATGGTGAGCCACAAAAGGTCATTGTTAAAAAAGCTTGCTGTTTAAAGTGTCCTGTCTCTAAGTACAGTCATCGAAAGTTGAGTCAGCATTATGCCCCGTGAGTCTGTGTAGGTCATAATACACTCATATTTTTAAAATGTTTTATTGAACATAGATTTTAAGTATTGTAATAAATGAAACAGTGATTTAGGGTTTCACCATCTGTATGCCAAAATCATCAGAGTTTTATGACAAAGAAAGGCTTGAAATAATATAATAAACAATGTGTGATGAATAAGAGTCTGAAACTTATATATACATATTGAACTGTCAAGACATCCATATTAATTATCATTTAAACTATCAGGATAGCACATACTTGTGATAAAGCACAATGTATGTGCCCAGAAATAAAAGCTACTTGCCAGGGTAAGTGTGAGGCCCATGGCTACAGGGATGAAGATGTAGTTAAGTGTGGTGACCTGAAGCACACAGCAGTCAGAGTCTGGATTAATATGGACTTCTTCATATTGTTTGGGCAGATGCAAAGACTTGGCACAACCATTCTTAAAGTGTCCCTGCATGGATAGAGATTAACATAGGACTCAGACAGCTGTGACAGCAAGGGTCACCACAAGAAAAAACTAATAATTTGAACACAAAAAAGTGAGTTTACTTTAAAAATAGACATCCTGCTACCTGCTTTTTAAATTTGAAGTTGAACTCCCACAATGCTTCTGGTCGAGTCCCTGACACCTTTTTGACCCAGAAGAGAAAACACTGAAAGAACAGAGAATAGGGATTTAAAAGCACATCTTTATAAGGTCAAATGTCAGCTTTTTCATCTTAATTTTTATATTTCTCATAAAAGTAAACTTAACAAAATCTGCCTTACATTTTAAGCATTTACATTGCAACCCTTGTTCTGTCACAATGAAAATCAAACCACAAACAAATCAGATTCAATTTGCCCAAGACACACCAGTTATGTTTAAATTCATCTTTGTCACTACTTTTACATAGAGCAAGCAGGTCACAAGCAAATACACTAAATGTTAACATACCTTGGAATTGAGCAGCGTTGTGGGCGTGGATTCTGGCAGTGCAGGACTTTTTGAAACACGCAAGCTAAACGGCTCGTACAAATGGAAAAGGGAGCGAATCACACATGCCCGTAGACAGTGCATCCTATCTATAGAGTCAGGCTGGAGGCGAAACGGCAGAACAACTTCAACCCTGTAGTGCCTTTAAGAAAAGAAACAGCAAATGGGAAGGTTTGAGAAAAAATATATTTACGTTAATCTCGAAACTAACAATTAAGGTTTATTGTTTTGAACAATTGAACAAGAGGAAAATTATCGGAAAGATCCACTAGGTGGCTCCACTTGTTGCAGTTCAGCTACAGATCTCTGCTGTGTGAAATTATATTTCACACAGGCATATATTCAGACATTTCAAAGAAGGGGCACATATATATACACAGACAGGACACCAGACTACCGCCGACCCTTTAAAGTGAAATCTCAAAATTTAATCAGATCTGATTAAATCAAATCAATTAGATTAAAATAGCTCCAAATATTTTCAAACAATGGCCTTTCTAAGATGAGTTCAAAAAGTTAAGTGCTGTTACCAAACTGAATAACTTAATTATGTTTTAATACAATATAATACAGAAACAAGATTAGTTCTTATTCTGAATATGATGCCGACTTAAAAGCTGTATTGTGAGCTTAGTCACATCGTGCATACTAATGCAATTTAGAGAATAATAAAAGAGCCAGGAAAACATCAAAGTAAAATGTTTTACTAAATTGTTTAAAGACATCACATAAAGTGAGACAATCATCCAGATGTCCATGCTTTGAAAGAACGTCTCTTGCAAATACTGCAAGTATTTGCAAGAGACATTAAACATTCCATGTATTTTGATTTTAAGACACATCTTACAAAGTTATGTTTAAAGATTCAGTTTGAAGTCAACTAAAAACTAGTCAAACCATGACAAACCATTCAGCCAATTCGGGTGAAAAAAAAATTACCAGCATAATAAAAAAAACATGACTGTACACAAACGTGAAAGGGTGAAATCCCTATTTACATCCTGGTTTTCAACAATTGAATTAAAAATACTTCATAATGGATTTTAACACTTATAGCAAGTGCCATATTGTCTGATGCTTTCCTCCAAAAGTTTAAAATCTTTTAAAAGATTGTTGTAAAAATATGGTCATAATATTAATGGGTTACTTTTATTTTTATTCAATAAATCATATGCTTCTATTTTTTCCCCAATTTGAAAAATATTTTACTACCAAGTTTCAAATTTCATTGTTGTGATCATTCTATTTAAAAACATTTTACTAATGCATAATCATATGGTGCATTTACTAACCTGAAAGGTGAAATTTTGTGTTTACAATCTGTACATTTCTTCTCAATGTATTGCTATTGAAACTCATTCTTTTCAAAATTTTCTAGTGACCCGAAACTAATCACCTTCTGTAGAGTCTGGTCCAGAAAGCCGCAGTGCAAGTGACTATCCATGCATTCCTGCAGATCAAAGAAAATTTGCACACATCCTCAGGGCGAATGTAGGAGGAAAGCACCAACCAAATATCTACTGGATAATCCTTCCCATCACTGCTCTCACTGCTCTCTGAGGAGGCAAGACATGAAACATCGAATAAACATGAAACAAGTAACCACTTTCACCATGAACTGACTCAAAGAAATCAATGAAACTGCACCTTTCTTTCTCTTGCTTTTCTTCTTGCGGGCCACTTTAGTTTCACTTTCCCCTTCGTCGTCCTCGGGGTCATCACTGCTGCCCACAGCGTCCGCTCTGAGGCTCGATGCAGAGGATAGGACTTCCTCCACCGCCCCCTGAGAGGCTTCCAACCCACACAGCAATTTCACTGGAACACATGCGATTCACCGTATTAAACATTTTAGTCTCGTTTCCATTTAGGACACGGCAGTCGCTCTTCAGACAGTTTTTTACCTTCTTTTTCAATCGCATTTGCGACAGCTTTCTTTACTCTACCCGACTTCACAATGGCTGGGTCAGCATTAGCAAAATCAGCAACAGTGACTGAAAGAGCAGGAAGAAAGTCTCAGAAACAAAACGAACAATGCATTTAGACAGTTACATATCAATGTGACTAAACCGAATGTATATAATGCTTAAGATCTTGTCCGTCCAGGTTTTACTAAGTTGAACTTGACTTTATAAACCTGAGCAACTGTGTAAGCTCAGAGGTTCTGTCACAGATTAACGGCTAGCCTCCTCCCGGCTATGCTACCTGATTCGCAGCAAATGTCTCCGGCCTTAAATTTCAGCCGTTTTCGGTTCCCTTTCTTGGGCATGTCGATACCAGTGATATACAAGCGACTAACGGGGCTGTGAGTCCTGCCATGGCTCTATGGCAAGCCGAGTTAAAGAGAAAGACAGAAAAATGACAGGAAAATTAAAAATGGTTCCGCCAGGATCTTCAGCCATCATGGAATGACGTCACATACTAAAACCGCGAGAGTGAAGGCTGTTCGCGCTTCTTCTTCTCCTACTTTGACATGACATCTGGTTAGTAGCGATACTGCCATCTTCTGGGATTAGGTGGAAGAGTTTATGGCTTCGATAGACTGTAAGCCACTCCCAGATATCTTTTAAATCCTCTTGAGCAATCCTCTTCATATAAACAGTATAAAGTTTGGCCCTTTTCACCAAGTATGAATATTTTTCAGTGTGTTGAAGTAGGCTATATAAATTACATCTGGTTTCACGTTGACAAGAAAAACATGTTTATTTTCATTAGTGGAAAGCTAAACCTCTTAATATTGAAGTTTAAGATACTTGCTTTACTTGGCTAGAGTGCAAATCTGGGCTCAAAACGTATTGTTATTCTTTCTCCACTATGGCACACAGAAACTTAAAAGCATGTATTGTTTTATTTAAGTATGTATAAATATGTCTGTTTTCCTCAGTGACAGATTGTTTTGCCAGTAGTTGCCAACATATGTGGTTTGCTGATAAACTGATGTCTGACATCTGTTAATTCATATGCATCTACGTTTATTCCATTTTTTGCATTTTGACTTCACATTGAAGATAACCTTACCCTTTGCCTGTCATGTAAAACATTTTCAGCACCCCTGTTCAACAGGTTTACCCATTAAGGTAAATCCCTGACCAGTGATTGCTTGAACCCAGCTACAGAACACAGAGTTTACCTTGCAAGCCTTACCAGCCATATAAGCTTTTTGCCCAATGTTTTTTTTTTTTTTTTTTTTTTTTTTTTTTTGTGCGTGTGTGTGTGAGTGTGTGTGTGAAATTGCTCAAGATTAGTCAGACTCTATAAAGAGAGCTAGTAAAAATAATCTTTAATTCTTACCACAGATTGTCAACAAGATTTTGTTTGGGATCTTGATTGGGTCATTGCAATATCCAGTGATTTAAATCAATGTATTAGTTCAGCTTTAAATTGGACTCCTGAACTAATTCATTAATTTCAACAATGTTTTCTCTCTCCAGTTTCCCCGGTATGCTAGATTAATGGACAAAAGCATTCAGAGTTGTCCTGTCAACAGATAATTCCACCTTTTAATTAGATGACTTCTGAATGCAGTCAGCTGAACTACATTTTATGTTGTCACTCTTCTTTCAAGATTTCTTCAGTGAACCTTTCTGCAAAACGTTAATAATTTTGCTTCTACTACATCATTTTTTTTTATACCACTTTGTCTATGGCAAATACGGCCCACAATAATTATAGGCCAACTCCCAATAGAATTTCATTATAACAACGTGCTTAAAAGTTATCAGTCAAATCAAATCAGTTTTTATGTGTATGGTGCCGATTATTTTCAGCATCATAAATATTCAGTGTTAAATATTTAATTTTTAAGAAGTACTAATTTAATGCAGGGAAAGCTACAATATTTTAGTTGAGCTACTTTTATTAATACATTCATGATCTTGGCATGACCCGCAATGACAATGACTTTGACACCCCAGGGCATAAAAGCCCAGTAAACTCCACTAAAGCACTCTGATGTTTATGAATGCAATGTGACACAAACATCAAAAAGTAACTAGAGAGAAAAGTTGATCGCTGACAACAGTCAATAGATACTATTTTTATCGTCGTTAACAGTAACTACAGCAACATTGCATTGCTATGGTTACTGCAATCTTTGAAGTAATTGTTAAAAGAACTGAGCTTAATTTATCATGGAGGGAAGAGGAAAGACGAGTTTTAGCTGGAATCCACTGATAGCAATACACCAATAAAAAATTACGAGTGCTGCTTGTCACAAAATATTTATGTCTAAAAGATTGGATAAATTCTCAAGATCCATGATTTTCCTAAAAATGGATGGGTACTAAAAAATAATTTTTGCTTCGTGATCATTTTTATAAATTTTGTACTCCTTTATACTCAAGTGGTATGGTTTTTATTCAAGGTAGGGATAAATTCAGACCTGTTGGAAAAGCAGATATTCAACTATAGCCATCAGAGAATATTGTTTTAATTAAGGTTGTGTCCACAGATCCCATTTTGCAACATGCTGTTTTATCCCGATGTCTTCCTATCAGAAGCATTATACATTTTTTAGCAATATAAGCTACAGCGGTTTGTCTGTGGGATCATTTCATTAGTTTGTGCTTTGCAGCACTTTAAATTTATACTGACCTTTGTAGGCCTAATGCATACAAGGAAAGACTTTGGAGATGCCTTGAAACATTCTTTTAGTCATTGCAGTTTGTACCTTTCCAAATTGCACTAATCTGAGTCATCAGGAGCATGGAAATGTGAAAGTTTAGTTTGGGTTTCATCACTTTTGAGCTATTTGTCATTTTGTGTCACAATTCTTTGGATTTTGGATGTTAGTTTTGACGTCACTTATGTTTTTTATAGTCAATAGATGGAGTTCAATCTTAATTTTTTTTTAAGTAAATTAAAAAATTAGGTAAAACAATTTCTGTTTCCCTAGCCCTTCCATCAGCAATTCTGCTAGATTAGCCATAAGGCACCCTGAGAGGTTTTCACCCTTTACTGTAGTTGGTGCTTCCTTCAATTATATTCCAGTTGCTTCTTTTATTTTTCTGCCATCAAAGTTATGTTTGTCGCTTGTACAATAATTGTGTTGTGTTTTTAGTAAAGCACTTTTGAGTCGTTTTGAGCGATGAAAATATGTTGCATAAATGTGCTACACAAATAAACGACTCAATTCATCTCCCTGACTGGGTTTGTCCCGTGTTGTATCTTTCTCTTTGATGCCTACAATTTTGTAATTTTGCCTTTTATTTTTCATTCAATCACTTAGTAATGATATCTGCCTCTTCCCTGTGTCACATAGTCATCACTCCGTGAGAGGTGAGCTGGTTCTTTTCCCTCCTGTTTTTTAACAAGTAAACTGAAGGAAAATATGTTTCACTTGGTATGAATATATTCCACCCACTAACAATGTCACAATAAATAAATTCTTAATGACACCTGTCAGTGGTTGAAATGTTATGCTTAAATCCCTGATTCATTCAAGATCCTGCAGGGTGCGCTGTGCACCCCATATGCATATCTGCTTGTAGCTATTGCTTGGTCAACCTGAAGCCACTGGATAGATGGGGGATCATGTCCCAGGAGCTGTCAAGTCAGGACTGTGCTCGGTCTTCCTGATGTAAGTGGATTGTGGACGTGCATAGTCAGTGTGCGCGCTGGTAGTGGCCACTCATCCATTCATACAGGCTGTAGTGACAGTTGCAGCAGTTTCCCTTGTGTGTGTACGCGCAGGGGACCGTGTGTGTGTGTGTGTAAGTGTAAGTGGGAGGAGGAGTGAGCGTCAGTCCGCTGGCTGCGTGCAGGGATGGAAACGGAGAAGGCTGATGCAGAAAAGAGTCGCTCTCGCCGTCGCTAGGAATAGGGACATCCTCCTGGATATTTTGTGTTTTTCTGAGTGCATGTGCGATGATATCCGTCTTTTTGTCGAGCACCGCCCATTTAGACCTACCAGTCTGTCTCTAAGCTGTCAATCATTTCACGCCGGGGACTCTACATGTGAGTGCATGGCGCGCCCGGCAGGGCGGATCTTCTCACGGGGTGGAAAAAACGCCGGTTAATATGGATAGAAAGTCAGCCATCATCTCCTCATCCCAATCGCAACGATAAGGTATGGCCAGACAGACCCTGGAAACGCGTATTCGATGCACGAGAAATGCAGCTTAGCGGGGCTCCTGTGCGCATCTTGGGTTGGTTTGGCTGTGTGGCTGCGCGACGATATTAGGCCCGCTCTCATCATTCAAATCGAGACTGGACCTCGGGTTCGTAACCACCACGTCCTCCCCTTTCTTAATCCTGTTGTAGCGGCAGTGTCTCATAACGCCGGCCGGACCCCAGAAGCGGGAAGATGATGTGCGAAGTGATGCCGACCATCAGTGAGGGAGACTCGGCTGGTCCTCCGAGAGGCACCGGCAGCGTCCCGAATGGCTCGGACCAGGAGGCCAACTTCGAGCAGCTGATGGTCAACATGTTGGACGAGAGGGACAAGCTGCTGGAGTCCCTCAGGGAGACGCAAGAGACCCTCATCCAGTCTCAGGCTAAGCTCCAAGGGGCGCTGCACGAGAGGGACATGCTCCAGCGGCAGATCAATGCCGCGCTGCCTCAGGTGAGCAGGAGGTGGCTTCCTTTCCAAAAAGCGTCATTCATTTATAGCCTGTGGCTTTGGGACGCCGTTTGTTAAGTTACACAGACAGAAATCATTTGGGCTATTTAGCCTGTTATATGAGAAAAGAAATGGGGGTTCATTTTTCAAAGTCATATTTTCACCATTGAATATGGTGTCAATGTGATTTTTGGAGGAATTAAAACATTTAGTTTCAAACAAAAAGGTTTTAATTAGCAAGATAAATATGTTTGTTTACAAACCGAATGTAGCTCCAACCCATGTAGCTGCATCAAACTAAATATTTAGAAAATCAGTTCAAGTTAAGTAAGACATAATGGACCCATATCGGTCTCACTTTTAACCCAGACTTGCTCTGTATCAAACCTACACCTGCAAGCGCCTAAAATATGAAACGCACTGCCCAGAAACTTCATCTGGGCAGTGTGTTGTAATTGTGAGGATTCAGACCTGACACCTAATAACTATGGGAGTCAGACATGTACCCATTTATCAAAAATGGTCCCAGTTAACTGTTGGAAAGATTTCTGTTTGTGAAAGCTATGAACAATCATGACATGGTAACTCAAGGAGTACCACTCTACTCTTAAAGTAACTGTGTTATCGAAGTACAATTAACAGGTTAAGATAGTTGTTCGCCCTGCTAATTGATCAGCTAATATCAGGTTGCTGTACTCATTTAACAAAAAAGGTAAAATTTTCTTTAAAACAAGTGTTTCAAAATAACTACAAAATTTGGAAAGTGTTTTATCTAAATGTTCTACTTAAGGTACTTGTACTAAATTAAAGTATGAAATGAATGTCATAACTCTTTAACT